CAACAACCCACTTGTTTGAGAGTAAAGAGAAGCGCATCAACACATTAAGGGCAATTTAGTGCCATATTAGAAAGAGTTTACAAGTTTTAAGCGACAGACAGACAAGACTTTCTAAGACTAACAGTCAGAAAGAAAAGTGGTAGGACTACCAGTGGTGTCAACCGAACACAAAAATAAAAGAATTTTTGTACATGAAAAGTTATGGTCAGGTAACTTAAATCTGATTTGCAAACAAAACAGTGACACTCTCCAATATCGGAGAGGCCACGACTCTCCCTGGAAGAGACAGGATTCATATTCTATACTTCCCTCCAATCGCCCCACCCTCACCAAATCAAATGCCTACGTTTTTAGAAGAACAATACAGTTGACCCTGCAACAACCACCAGTCCAAGACAACCACGTCTGTCTGTGTGTACAAACAACCACTTCCCACTTGCATATATATTTAATTTTCTCTCTCATAAAATGACACTGTCTGAGACATCCACCTGTCTATGACAATCATTTTTACCTCTAGACAATGGGTGGCTGTCTTGGAATATTTTTTACAGCATTTGAAGAAAAAAAAGTCACACTAATGACCAAGTTTACTCTTTAAAAGGAATAATAGGCTACTAGAACACGGAAGTGAAAGAAAATGTACCTTCACATTTCCTATAAGGGAAAGCTAAAGTTCAATGTTTGTACTGGACCAAAAACAGCTGGTAGGTAGAGAAAACAACTTTCACTTTTATAACTTGGGCACATTCTGTTCTTTATATTGTGAGTTTCTTCGATAAATCCAAAGGCCCAAAAAATGATTTTAGGGCAAGGACACAATCCAGCTTGGTTCTGGACAATTCCACTTTAGGTAGATCTAGGCCTATGGTGGGCAGTCAACAAAGGAAAAGATGAACTCTAAAATATTTAAATTTCTCAATCGTATTTTTGGGTTGTTTTTCAGGATAAAATTAAGTTTTGTACCCAAACACGGACACTTTCTAACTTACTTACAACTCCTCCACCCTTACCCCTGATTTCTATGATGCAGTTATTATCTCAATATTCCTGTCTATCAAAATTACTTTTGGGGCCAAAACCAGAGGATAGCCAGTTTTTTTCCTTCTTTAGTTTAGTAATCTTAGACTAGATTCTAGAGGCTACACATCTGAATAGGCCTACATGATAAATATGTCAAAGGCAAAGGGTAGGCCTATTCAAAAGAGGAGGACTTCCGTAACAAGCGACCACTATGAGACAGAGTAGAACAGAGAACAGGGGTAGGGGCAGAGGTAGTGGGTAGGGGTACGGTAGGGGTAGGGCTTGGCCGGTTTGGGTTGTTAGTGTTTGTTAGGGCGGTCGCTCGTTACGGAAGTCCTTCCTTCAAAAGTCGCAAAAAAGTCAAAGTTGGATCTCAACTTCTAGATTCTAGAAGATCTAATCTAGATAGATCTAGATCTAGATCTAGATCTAGATCTAGATCTAGAATCTAGATCTAGATCTAGATGATAGATATCTAGATCTAGATCTAGAGTCTAGATTTAGATCTAGATCTAGATCTAGATCTAGATCTAGATCTAGATATAGATCTAGATCTAGATCTAGATTCTAGAAAATCTAGACTAGATCTAGATATCTAGATCTAGATCTAGATTCTAGATCGAGTGAATAGAGAGGCTAAATGACTCACCTGAAGCGTTCAAGACCTGGAGAAAACTCATGATGGTCAGCAGCACCAGTCCCCACCACATACTGGAGGCGGAGGTGGTCAAACTTTCACCAACTCCAAAATTTGCCATGAATCTAAGTTGAAAGCCAAAGTCGCTGACCAAAAGCAAAAAACACGATCACAAACACGAAGCCTGGGAGGTTGGGCAGTCGAAGAAATTCAATCCAAGTTGACTAGGCTACGTGTATTGCGGGACGACTTTTTACTGACTTGAGAGTCGACTTGACACAGATTCAATTCAATCAAGAATCATCAGTCAAGATCTCTAGACAAGCTCAGTTTGATTACACACTTTTCTAAAGATACAAAATCACAGGATACATATCGATGAAGATGATTAACTCTCGACTTGAGTTCTCGGTTTTCCAAATGACAAGTATTTGTCTCAACAGTTCTGTGAATCAGTGGGGGGAAAACCACAACATTAACAACACCGTCATTGTTGATGTTTTTCGGAGGCCATCCTGGGCATTGGCGTAGGCCTACGGAAAGCGTAACGAGAACTGGGTCTTGTGGCTGTGCCTGTTTACCACAGAATAGTGTAGAATTCTGTGCTGTTTACACAACTGACGCAGAAGAGCTCTTGTCTTTTCACTGGGACATTCCTCCGTCCTCCAGATTGGAGTTTTCCTGGCTGTGACGAGCCAACTACTAGTACTAGCCTAACCGTGTTTACTGTTTACGCTCTCTCTCTCTCTCTCTCGTTCCAAGCAGGCTGGCTGAGCAGACTGCTGTGCCTGAGCCGGACTGATGAACTGAACTGCACGCCAGTGCGACCGTTTGCTCTCTGTTGCACGTTTCCCGTGTGTGTGGTGTGTGGTGTGGATGGCGGGACGGGGTGGAGAGAGAGAGAGAGAGAGAGAGAGAGAGAGAGAGGTAGG